TTGTAGAGCCTCAATGTCTTTTTTTGGTACAGTATACCTTGTTTATACAGTACTATAATTTTTGCTGACTGTACTAAAGTTTTATGTTCCATTTTACATTACAGTACCACATGCAAAGGCAAATAAAAGCAAAATCTTCAAGTTGGGGTTTCCCTTGAGCATTTCTTTGTTCTGAATATTGTAATGTGTATACTATATACAGTTCCTCATTTAGCAACCCGTTCATATAACAAGCTAGTTATGGAAACTGACTCAGTCCTTAAATGAAGAATGTCTGCATGCAGTTAGAGAGGGATTGGGGCCCAAGGACATCAGCACAGAAGATGAAACACAGAAAGATTGTGGCTGGAAGGAAATCTGAAGAGAGCCCAGGCCTCTGGATATGGTAGCTTCTCTAGAGACAAACAGCACCTTCAGACTATACTCTAGTTAGCATCATCTGGTCCAGATAGGCATCAGGTGCATAAGCCGCTAACCAGAACATCTGGGCCCATGCTCCCACCCCTCCCCTTTTTGGAAAGCCTTTGTTCTTTCCATTTACCTTTACTACATGACTTGTGTCCCTATTGCATCAATATTAGCTAAGCAGTCATATTCGTTATCCTATAGGTTGATTATAGTTTGACCCACACTGTGATTTTGCTGTACAAATTACCCTTAACCAAGAGCCTCAGTGGCAGTCTATTTTTGGGATCCCTGCTCTCTCTTAGGAGCTTTCTATCAAAAAACATTTTCTACTTCTTTTTTTGGTGTGTGTAGTGCTAGGGATTGAACCCAGGGCCTTGTGCATGCAAGGCAAGAGGGATGTTGCTACCACTGGGCCACATCCCCAGCCCTACTTTTCCTACTCTTAACCTTTATGGACCTCTAAATTCATTCTTCAGCATTTGGGGGACATGAACTTGGCACATCTGATATCCAACAGGTTGAGAGTTGTTTTCCCTATCACAGAATGATTAGGTTTTTGTTACTATCCCTGAAATACATTTAAATCTCTATTCTATAAATTAGTTACCTTTGTCTAATTATAACATATTAAATGACATAAATGAACCCTTATTTAAATTTGTTACTGATTATTAAAGTGTCTTTTAAGTACAGTGCATTTGTTTATAGATGTACTCTATTTGTTCCTAATGTCCAATCTAATTACTAGAGTGACATTGTGTTGAGGTACATCTGACTGTTGTAACACAACTATATATCAACCACTAAATATAAACTTGAAAAAGTTTGCCATTATAAGCAGTTTTAGTCCGGAAACCATCAGAATGATAAAATGTTTTCCTAAGTTCTGTATCTTTCAAGGTCTGTGCACTTGGGAAACATACAAATACACTTAATATAGTATGAGGTTAGCATCACAACTGTATAGAAATCTTCACATGTATTTTTTTCATTTACTTTTAAGGCAAAATTTATATCCCTTTAACAGGTTTGTACATGTAACTGCACTGACAATTAAAGGACATCTTTAGATGTCTTATAAGCTTAGGAAAAAGTATTATTGAACAGACAGACTTGTTACTCGATATACAAGTGTAACTTACTTATACAATAACAGAATTTTTAATCAAAACCAATAGATGTAGGTCAAGTTTTAAATAGCAGGGCCAAATTTAAAGACATGCCAACAATTTTGGTCATGTTATAGATCTAAGGTCTAAATGTAATGCTTGTGTAAAAGACATATAGAGCTTATTATTTTACACATAATACACATATGTAGTCTTAACTATAAATTTAACTTTAAAGGTTAGACTCACAGCATATTTTGTTTTTAGATGTATATATCTATCTCTAGTACCAGATATATAGGTCATATTCTAAAGTAAGATAATAACTGTTCACTTAACCAGTTACAAACTGATGATTGAAAATATTTTACAAGTCAACAGATAAATAATCTTTAAGTCTTGAAACTCAGTTTCTTAAGTGACCAAAAGTGTAGCAATGGAAAACATAAGAAATTATCCTAATAAAATATAAAAATCTTTGTTTTTAAATCTAGTTTTATAAGTTTAATCAAGAGCTTTTAATATCTTAAGAAAATCTTTTTGCTTTAGACATAGAAAACTTTTGTCCTCTCAACTGTAGCCAACTTAATTATATATTATAATAATTCAGTATAACTCCGAGAAAAACCAGAGAACACACCTATCTTTGGAGAAAACTGAAGCAAATTGGTTTGGACAGCTGCTTTTACAGCAACAGAAGGGAGTTTTCTCCAGCAGTTCTCCAACATCAATGGGCCCATATATGTATCTTTCACTAAAGAAAAACTAACATTATAGACAGACAACAACAGACATTATGTTTATAAAACACATTTTTAAAATACTATCTTGATTGGCAACAACCCAAGTGAAAACATGTTACCAACTTCAAAAACATCTTTACCTTTATTTTATTAACCAATTTAAACTAGCTTTCTGTTAAGTCATGTGAACAGTAAATGTTTGGGCTAATATAATGAGTGTCTATTTATCTATAAGCCAATTAGAATAAAACAGTACCTGAAAAGGAGCGCATAGAAACACACACATTAACCTAATCATGTGAAAGTTTCAAAAGAACTAGAAATTTGAAAGGACAAAAAGAAAGATGAAATTGATAAAACCTCAAAAAATCTTTAATGAAGCAGCTTTTACTTTAACCAGTTATTAAAACAGATTCTATAGGCAGACAAACAAGTAAACATATAGGAGAACTTACAAAGCAAATATTTTAAAATTATAGTGCACTCTTAAATGTATTGGCCATACTGAATTGTAATAACCCTTTTATAATTTTAAGTTTATAGCTATAAATAGAGCAATGAGAACTTTGCCTGTGGGATATGATAGCAATTTTTGGGTGAACTCTAATAGAGACCTCTTGTAATCACACCAATGAGAGTCAGAAAGGGGAAAGATAGAAAAGCTATAAAGTGTTTGATGTTAAGTTGTTAGGTACAATTTTTTTTTTGGTACCAGGAATCAAATTCAGGACCTCACATTTGCCAGGCAGGCACTGTGCCACTGAACTAAATCTCTAGCCCACTATAATTGTGAAAAGCTATAAATTATTATCCCTCCTTATTTTGAAACTAAATTTGAGGCCTCATCCCTTTATGGCCATGAAAGCAAGTACTATTTTAAGAAGGGCCCAAATTTGATGTTTTTCCTTAATCTTTGCAATAACTGCTATCACAGTATAGGCCCTTTGGGGCCCTTTATATTAGTTATTGTGGGAAACTGCTCCTTTGATAACCATGCTGTTTTTTACATAAATATTTTGCTCTAAAGGAACAGTCCCTTTAAAGGTATGGTGTTGTAATAGACAGTTTTTTACCTGGCAAGCATCTCTCTGTCTCTGTCTCTGTCTCTGTCTGTTTCTCTCTCGTATGAGGATTAAATTTAGGCCAGATTTTAAGACTATAGCCTGGGGGATAAGGCAGAGGGAACTAGAAACTTAAGACCCAGGATGGGGCCTATGGAGATACTTTTCCCAAAGTATCCCCTAGGATTACAAACCTCCCATCACAGAGAGACACAGGAGATACTTGCCTCCTGTGGGGCATCCTCTAAACAGAGGGATTCCATGGCACTGGGGCCACCATCCAGTTGATCAGATTGGGCCAGATGACTTAGTGAGGCACACAGACAGGGAAACTCACCGTCTTGGAGAAATGGAAACCTGCTGTCAAGAGTGGAAAACCTGCACTCAGGGGTCCAGCAGCCACAGGGAATGGATCTGCAGAGGAAGACAGACTCACCCTGGGTGAGCTGCCACTATCAACTGCTCTGTGTTGAGAGTGAGGGAGGCCCTAAAAGAAGAGAAAGTGGCCTGCTAGAGAGTGGTACTGGCAAAGGCTGTCAGTTGTAAGTGGGAAGTCAGGCTTTCTACAAGGGACAGAAGAGAACTCTAGCTTGTACCCTGATGGACTATAGTAGTTGTAATCACAGCCTGGAGGCCTTTGGGTGCCTAACCTGTTTTTGTTGCTGTTGTTCTATCAATGAAATCATCTGTGCTGTAACCCCTAATTCTTGGGAGAAGGATAAGGGAGAATGAATAGAAAGTGATGGCAAACCCTTTAGAGTTTTCAGTGATACAAACAGCCCACTGTGGCATGCATGCCATAGGTTCACCACCACTACCCTAATCTGAGAGTAGCTCTGTGCAAGGCACAGAAACTGTATGTATAGGGAAGAAGCATAATAAGAAAAGAGAGAGAAAGAACACAAATTGTGTCTGTGTAATAAATATACTTACAGTTATATGGAGAGAAAAAGATAAATACTCCAATCTTTACTTCCTGTCAATTTCAGTTTGCTGAAGTACAAAGTTGATCTTGGTGGGACCTCCAATATGAAGCAGTTAGTTCTGTGTAAACCCAGAATTCTTTGTCTCAGGAAATTGAAGGATAAACTCGCAGACAAAAGAAGGGAGTTGGGAGAATATTTATTGGAAATTTAAAAAAAAGCTCATGGTGTATGCCCACCACAAAGGAATCCTGGAAGCAGAATTATCCTCATATGGAATTTTTAGTTTTAGTTTTTTGAGGAATTTCCATGCTGATTTCCATACTGGTTTTACTAGTTTTCATTCTCACCATCAATGCAGAAGGGTTCATGTCATGTTGCCCGACTGCTTCTCTCAGCCTCAGCAGCATTTGCTGTTTTTTTTTTTTTGGTTTTTAAAGATGGTCATCCTTATTGGAGTAAGGTGGAATCTCAGCAGTGTTCAACATTTTCTCATCTGTTTATTGGCCATTTGTACTTTCTCATCTGAGAAGTGTATGTTCATTTTAGTTGCCCACTTTTTGATTGGATCTTTATTGTGAGGGGTCTAATTTTTTTTAGTTCTTTATGTATTCTAGATATTAGTACTTTTCCAAGGTGTAGCGAGTAAAAAATTTTCCCCATTCTGTAGGTTGTCTCTTTACTCTTTACCTACACACATACGAAGCATTCCTACTGTGTAATCGTTTTCTCTATACATTTAATTTTTTTTTTCAGTTTATTCAGATAGCCAGCTCATTTGGACTTTACAGAATAAACCATGGGTTTTCAACGAATGTGGAACCGTGTATTTCAAATCCTGTAGGATGACATTTTCCTCTTTGAATAGAATTAAAAGTTACTGGTGAGTTTATTTATTGCTATGGCAGATATTTACATAACTATGTGTAATAGTAAATGAGTAGTATTTTTATGTTTAATAAGCTTGGTTAGTATGGAATAGCTCATGTATTTGAGTAAAGTAGCTTTTATTTATTTAAGTATTCTTAACAAATTTATTTTCTAACAATTTAAATTTGGAAAATTTTAAGCCCATAGAAAAACTGATAGAGTAATGTTGCTGATAACCAGTCCATATCTTTCATGTAAATTCAGAGAAAGCATTTATTTTTAATAGAAGACTATATTACAGGGAGAAGTATTTTTAATTATAATACTCTTATGACAGAACACAATAATGTGGTGCTTAAAATCATAAGTGATCTGGGTGCAGGATGCCTCCAAGGTGGACACACACTAAGGAGTAAGGTTAGGTTGAGGTAATGTCTGCCTGTGCCTGTATTTAGTAAGCCAGTGTCTTGGTTACTTTTCTCTCGTTGCTGGGACAAAATACCTGATGCCCAAAATTAAGGAAGGAAAGGTTTATTTCATTTACAGTTTGTGGAGGTTTTAGTCCATACTTAGCAGGTTACAAGGCAGAGTGGCACATGGCAGAGGGCTACAGCTCATGGCAGCAGAACACAGCAAGAGCAACAAGCACACAAGGGAGGAATGGCGGCATGGCGGCAAGCAGCCTCTTCCTCTCCCTTACATATGCAAATTATCCCCCAGGGTGGTATAGCTCTCACACCCATAATCAATCAAACTCTAAAAGCCTGCCCCATGACCGCATGAGGCTTTGGGGGGGACACCCAGACACAAACCAAACAGCCAGTTTGTAACCTTGTAAAGACTATTGCATAGCATTAGAATGAGCTGTTTTCTGTGTGTGCTCCTATTTGTAAATGAGAGCCTTTGAGATTGAGTATGTCTGAAATCATTCTTTGTCAGCTGAGCAACTACCACTGTGCTCTGTTGCAAATCAGTGAGCTGGGCACGGTCGGGTGTGCCTGTAACCCCAGCCACTTGGGAGGTTGAGGCAGAAGGTTCAAAAGTTCATTAAAAGGTCAGTATTCCCTGGGTTCAATCCTCAGTACGGGGAGGGAGGTAAAGAGGGAGGGAGGGAGGGACAGAGCCAACGAAAAAAGGAAGGGAAGAAGGAACGAAAAAAAGAAAGTATCCCAAATTAGTTTTTGGTTAGTGAGGTTTTATGTTAAGCGTGGAAAAAGAGACTAATCTTCCTAAAATAATGTTAAAGAAAAGTGACATTTGAATTTACTTATCTCCTTATTTTGCAATATTGTGAATTGAACCCAGGGCCTTCACACTGACCTATGTCTCCACACCAGTCCCTGCTTTTATACCATTTTGAGAGAATATCTCCCTAAGTTGTAAGTTGCCCAAGCTGATATAATCCTCCTGCCTCAGGCTCCCGGAGTGTTGGATTATAGCAAGAGCCAACATGCCTGGCTAAATCTTAAAAGAAAAAAACCAGCAATGAAAATAGAATGTACCTTTCATATATGAGTAAGAGATACAATAGAACTTTGAATGGTATGACCTTTTCTAACTTAACAACATTTTACGCAAGCAAACCTTTGGAGTATTTTCTCTGTGCTATTCCTGTGACTGAGAACTCAATGTAGTGTTGAAATCTATTTAGTCCCTATTTGTTCTCATTTGATTGAAAAGAAAAATAAAAGGCAAATTATGTACTTCTCTGGGCTTTTCCTTCAGATTTTTATTTTGATAAATGTCTTCTGAGCACTGGCTATGTTCCTGGAATTCTACTAGTCCCTGGGAATAAAATGCTCATCAAGACAGTCCATGCCCTGCCTATGCAGTGCTTAAGGTCTAGTGAGGAGGTGGACAAGACCGAATTATCATACTAGCCCATGAGGACAGACAGAGTTGTACAGGAGTTAAAATAGGGCTGTGGCCCACTTATAAGGATCAAGGAAGACTTTGTAGATAACAAACGTTCCATCACACTGAGACCTACAGGATAAGAAAGAATGAATTAGGCACTGGAGGAAGAGAGTCGGAGGATGTTGGAAGATGTTCTAGGCAGAAGGAACAAGGTCTACAAGGAGCCTGTGAGGAAGCAGGCGCGGGCAGTTTGAAGAGCTGAAAGAGGGCCTGTATGGCTGGCCTGGGGAGCGTGAGGACAGTGTGCGCAGGTGACTTTGGAGATGAGGGAGTTGGGGACTAAATAATTCTGAGTCTTATAAGCCATGCAAAGGACTTTAGTGTCCATCAGCAGTATTAGATAGGAAGCAGAAGGCCAACTTTTATAAACATTGTTTTTAGTTATAACTTACTTTAAAAGCAAATTAATTTTGATCTCAGTGAATATATGTGAGCAGTGTGATTATAAGAAAACCTGGTTTTTACTAATAGCATTGACATTGAGCCATTATGTATTTAGAAGCTGATAATGTATAAGTGAGAATATTTTCCTGTACCACGTATGCCATGTTACGTTTTTAGAAACATCAGTATTTATTGCTTTTTTTTTTTGTAGCCCTCCTTGGACAAGACTATACAGTACTTCGCGCACCACGGTTGACAGCAGTGAAGTAAAAACCTTCCTGGCCCTGGCTCACAAGTGGTGGGATGAGGAGGGAGTATATGCGCCTCTTCATTCTATGAATGACCTGAGGGTGCCATTTATTAGGTAACATTCCAGTGCCTCTTTTTAAGAATTCATTCTCTTTTGTATTTTCTCTTGGTTTATACTTAGGTTCAAAATGCTGCATTTTAAGTTTTCTTTGGAAATTAGGCAGAGTGTCTTCAATACCCACCATTTGGAGCAAATAATTTTTAGTAAGATTATCCAATGTCTAGGCTGCTTTCATAACATAACTTGAAGTATTATTGGGCAGTTCAGGTTAATTAGAATTAAATTCTCATGAAGGGAAACTAAGGCCCTGTGTCATCAAGGCCATGTATAAGCTACTGACCTGTGGGGCCCCATTGGCCTGTAGGCAGCTCAGGGAAAAGTCCTGTACCACTGAGACAGTTGATTCAACAAGTATTTTTTGGGAGCTCATCTTGTAAAGGGCTCTGGGGCTAGACTCTGAAAGCTACTAAGATGAATAAAATAGTCTCTCTGTTTGTTATGGAGGGTAAGAACAAGAGTTCATTAGGGCTTTCATTTAAGAAAATGTTCTGTACATTTATTTATCAAGCATTTTTGAATAGCTGGCGTGGGAAAGCCACTGTAATTGACAGAGAATATCATGCTCAGAGCTTACTCTCACTGAAGTTTCTGATTGGGTTTTGCTGGTTCATGCAGAATCAGTACAACAAAGAGGAAATATTGACATCTTTTTAGTATCATTGAATTTGTGCATCACTGAAATACTAAGTCAGAGAAAAGCAGGAATGTTGTTTTATTAGGTTAGACGACTGTTTCTCAAAATATAGGCCCTGTATCAGCAAAATCAATTATCAACCTGGAAATCATCAGAAATGCACATTCTCAAGCCTCTGCCTGTGGAATCTACAGTCAGTGTTCTGCAAACCTTTCAAGTGATTTTGATAAGTTTGAGAACTCTGTTTGAACTACTGTGATATATTTATTTAGATAGAACATAAAACGGACTGCTAGGGCACTGGAAACTGTGGCATTTATCAAAAAATATTAATAATCCAGTTTAAATAGGGACTGACATTTCATCAAAACTGTATAGTTTTATAATTTTTCATTGATAAAATTAATCATTTATTTTTCATATTTAAAAATTTCTTTTAAGAGACAATCTTTTGAAAACAGTTGCTGATCACCATCCTGGAAAACCTTTGTCTGGGATGAAGATTCTTGATGTTGGCTGTGGTGGTGGATTGTTAACTGAAGTAAGTGATGAACAGCTTTTCTGCATTAATGGGGAAAAGTATTTGAGAGGTGCACTTGGGCTTCACTTACCATTTTGACAAATCGTATTCATTATTTTAAATGAGTACTGGTGATTTAAATCTTTCAGTGATTATAATCTTTTTGTTATTATACATATAATATATGCCTTTATATTTTTTAAGAATCTGAAAATTTCAGGCTGAGTGGGTACATGCCTGTAATCCTAGCACTCTAGGAAGCTGAGTCAGGAGGATCCCAAGTTTTCCCAGCCCAGGCAGTATAACAAATTGGCATGACCTTGTCTCAATATTTAAAAGAAGGACTGTAGATATAGCTCAGTGGGAACACTCTGGATTCAATCTTCAGTATAGGAAAGTAGGTAGGTAGGTAGGTAGGTAGGTAGATAGATAGATAGATAGATAGATAGATAGATAGATAGATAGATAAGAAAATTATACTGAAGATTTTTAAAAATTAAAAAGAGTATAGGTCATTCAGATAGCTTCCCATGAACTCTATCCCAAGAAATTAGGGAGCTCCTACTGGCTTAAGTGCAATCATAGGCTGTTCTTTTGAATTTAATTTGTAAAACCCAACAGAATTTTGCCTGTTAGTGGGCTCTTTCTTTCTTAGGCATTGTAGAGTACTTGCAAGGTAATTATTCTTCCTGTAAAGAATATTTGCTTCTGTTTATAGAAATTTTATGCCTTGCAGCTTTATTTTATAATCTTCTATGGGCTGGGGATTTAGCTCAGCGGCAAAAGCGCCTGCCTGGCAAGCGCAAGGTCGTGAGTTCGGTTCCCGGTACCGGAAAAAAAAAAAAAAAAAAAAAAAAAAAAAAAAAAAAAAAAAAAAAAGAAGATTATAATCTTCTATCAGCACAGAAACTTCTTTTTACAATGCTATATCATAATTTGATCTTTGAAAGATATTCGAGCAACATTATGGAAATACAGAAATGTTAAGATTCAAGCTGAGTGTGGGGATACATGCATGTAATCCCAGCACTCTGGGAGGGTAACACAGGAGGCTTGAAGGTTTGAGCCCAACCTGGGCAATTGAGTGATTTAGTTGAGACCCTATCTCCAGAAAATGTTGAGGAGGCTAGAGATACAGCTTAGTGAGAAGGCCCTGGGTTCAGTCCCCAGTACCAAAAAGCAAAACAAAACAAAGAAGATTCAATGGGATGTGATATTGTCAAGGTCTAAAACTCAGCCCTGTTGACAGTGAGACTAACAGAGGCCTTTGATGCAGTTAAGTTCCCACATCACAAGAAATGTGTTCTTCCCCTGACAGTGGGCTAGTTTCTTTTGATATGAATTAAAAAGTTGCAGGAAACCCAAAACATGTGTGTGACCATTAATCCTGGTGTCAGCTTCATGTAGTAGTTTTTTTTTTTTTTTCTGTTTTTTTCCGGTACCGGGAATCAAACTCAGGACCTTGCGCTTGCCAGGCAGGCGCTGTGCTGCTGAGCTAAATCCCCAGCCCCCATGTAGTAGTTAATAAGGAAGTGCCTAGCAGGTTCGTAAAGGACACTCCTGGGTGTGTCTAGGTGGGTAATGGAGGCGTGGTCGGGGGTACCATATATGATCCCTTTCCCATTCCTCTGTGGCACTGTTCCCCTCCTCTGCTCCCCAGCCACTGGGGACTAAGCACCTTTGCTCTGCCACCCCGTTCCACCTTGATATTCCTGCCTTAGAGCAGCTGACTGTGGACTGAACCCCCCAAACTGTGAGCTAAGTTAAACCTTTCCTCTTTGTAAGTTGTGAGTGTTGGGTATTGTGTCCAGCAATGAGAAAGCTAATCCACGGTGAAAACACATCCCTTAGATCAAGAACATGTGTATTAATTGTAACTCAATAAGATTTTAGTATATGTGTCCTGCAGTCAGCTTAATGTAATTGTAGATCTTATGTCTCAATTTAAGAGTGTAATCTTTTGTCATTTTTGATGAAGTTTTTATTGCTAACATGTGTTCTCCTTTCTTCCTGAGAGTGATGATTTTTATACCTTTAGCCTCTAGGGCGTCTAGGGGCTTCAGTTTTTGGAATTGATCCTGTGGATGAAAACATTAAAACCGCACAGCACCATAAAGCGTTTGACCCAGTCCTAGATAAGAGGATACAGTATAGAGTGTGTTCCCTGGAAGAGATTGTGGAGGAGACCGAAGAAACTTTTGATGCTGTTGTGGCTTCTGAAGTTGTAGAACACGTGGCCGATTTAGAAACATTTATACAGTGCTGCTGTCAAGTGTTAAAAGTAAGATTTATGGAGTTTATTTGTTTGTTTCTTCTTTTGACTGTGTGCATATATCCATGGCAAAAAATGTTTTCCACAATACTTTAGCAGTCTCGCAGGCAAGGCATAGGATAGAAGGAAGAAGCAGCCAGGATTAGAGGATGTCTGCTGGAGATTACTCCTGCCCCTCAGATTAACTCCAGTAGCAGGGTTTTTCAGTGTCCTACTAGTACTTTGATGTACCTTGAAAAATCTCGGGGTGAAGCATTTGAAAACTACATTTATAGTGGTATTTCCCCATTGATACAATCTGGATTAAATACTTAATAGCCATTATATGAGAATTGCCAAGCAGTGGTTTTCACTTCAGATGTCAAAATCAGCAGAAACAATGATTAGCACAAATTTACTTAAATAGCATTTAATTTACTTGGTGTGTGAGTTTTCAGCCTATGAGAAAGTTACTTGATGCATGTGACTTTTACCTACCACCCAGTGATAAGGAAAGGCAGATGCTGTCATCCCCTTCGTGGGCATGTGAGGACTCAGGGCTTGATGACAAAGCTCACTGGGCACTGAGGTGGGGCTCCAGGCTGGATCCCCTGATTCTGAGCCTGAGCCTGATTATCCTCATTACTCGTTATATAATTTGGCCAGATTTAGCTCTCTAAATGTGTTTCTAAACTTTCTTGTAGTATATATCCCTAAAGTCCTATTATTATATAGGAATACACACACACACACACACACACACACACACACACACACTAGAGACTATATATAGACTTTGTTTGTATGTTTAAAATGTTATGCTCTAAGGTCAAAAACTAAAAGAATGAAATGCTTAGCCCATATCTCAATAGAGCTTTTAAAAAATATCTAAAAAACTTTTATTTTTAAGGAATCTCAGATTCACAGAGGAGTTGCAAAGACAGTACAGTGTCACCTTCACCTGTTTTCCTCTAACGTTAACAGCTCACATAGGCGTAAGCACTAAGATGAGCAAGTGAGGCCGAGGACACACAGTGAAGGAAACCCTGCCTGTTAGGTACCAGCCCCGCACCTGCGCACACAGAAGGCCTTGCTGATTGCGGGTCTGTGTGCTAGAACCTCGCTCGGCTCACCGTGGTGCTGCCCCTGAATATACAGTTGTCAGAACTGCGGATGTTGTCCTTACGCTTCTTACTGCACTGCAGAGCTTGTTAAATTGCATTAGTTTTCTGCTAATGCTGTTTTTCCATTACGGGATCCAGTCCAGACTCCTGCATCAGTTAGTTGCCATGTATCCTTAGTCCTCAATCTGTGATGGCTTCCTGGTGTTGCTTCTTCGACAGAGGTGCAGTAAGGCGTATTTCCTGCTGTCCAAGTAGAACTCCTTAATTACTAATTCCTGTGTTGGGTGTCAGTATGTTCCTATGAATGGAGATTTTTTGACACATATGAGGAATACTGGCATTTGGGGCTTCAAAACTAATTTTTGCCTTAGTGGAGACTCTGTATCTTAAAAAAGTAAACATGGTTATCATTAATTCTTTAATGTATAATTTTATTGGACACAAACTAGAGAAATGATCAGATTTAAAGGTGATTCTGAATAAGGTATTATAGAATACTGTGCAGAGTTTTGCAGGGAAAAATTACAATGTAGGATGATATAGTTTGTAATATTTCAGTTTTTAGCTTAAGGGCACACCCCAGTATTTCAGGGCTCCTCTAACCTTTTATACTTTTGTTTGGGCTGGTATTTGAAATATATTATCTGTTTCTGTCCACCCTAGTGTATGTAGAAAGAGTAATAGAATAGTTTTGGATGGAAGCTTTGGCATTTTATCCCCATGACACTAATAATAATGTGTAAAAGAGTGAGGGAACATTTATGTCCTTGACATTTGTGAGACTAAACATAGGAAACACTATAAATATAATCAGAGCAGAACTAAAAATGCAAACAGTTCCATTTTGGGGTTGCATTCGCCTAAGTGCTTATCTTGATCTCTTATAGTATTTATACAAATGAAATCAAATAACAAAATTTCAAACCTTAATCATTCATTTTTGTGAAAGAATACCTACTGGCAGTGCCCTGTGCTACAGCAAATGCGTATAAGAGAGGGAAAAAAACCACACACACAGATGTCATAGCAGTATATGATTTTAAGGGTTGTAAGCACCGATGGGTACACGAAGTGAATCTGTAGTGGGTTGCCTTTAATAGTAGATTTCCTGAGGGAAAAAATACTATTTTGGCAACTTATATTTTATTCATACTTACGTATCTTAACCGTACTTAAAACGTTTTAAAATTAGGAGAGAGCAGGGGAAGCCAAGTCTTTACTTAACTGATACTCATAACGTTTTCAATTTTACTTCTATACATTTTTACCTGCATATAATTCTGCTTCTTTTAGCCTGGTGGTTCTTTATTCATCACTACAATCAACAAAACACAACTGTCCTATGCCTTGGGGATTGTGTTTTCAGAGCAGATTGCAGGGATAGTGCCAAAAGGTACTCACACATGGGACAAGTTCATTTCACCTGAAAAGCTAGAGAGCATTCTGGAATCAAGTAAGTATGAAGAATTTTTCAAACTTCCAAGACTTAACTGAACTTCTAATGCATCTATAATTATTAATCACATAACCTAGCACTTAACTAGTTGGGCCACTATCTTTGGGATGTTGATTTCAATCTCTTCAACTATGTCATACACTTTTTGAAGTTGTAACTAAGAAGTACATACCTCTTCTGTCTCACTTGTGGCACCTAACCTAAGGTCAGGCTAATAATAGATGACACATACATATCTTTTGGCTATTTAGCCCTCACTTGTTGAAGGATGAGATACAAATATCTATTATCTATACATCCTCAGTTCACCCTACTAAGCCCTGCATATATTAGCTTGTCTTTCTTATTTTTCCTGAATCCTCTGCACTCAGATATATTTTGAAATTCCCTGTCACTCTTTATATATTTTATGTTACTTACAGCACACATTCTATTATGGTTTTCTAATGGGTTTTTGCCTTGTCTGTCTTATAAGCTCCTTTAAGGCAAGGTTAGTTTCCTTTTTGTACTTCCTATATTAACTCATTCTGCTTTACAATAGTAAGCAGTCAGTTTATGTCTTGCATTCTTTTCAAGTAATAGTGGCTTTTATTTTGTTTTGTTTTGTTTGTTTTTGACACAGGGTGTCACTATGTAGTTGAGGCTCACCTTGAACTCATAGCAGTCCTCCTACCTTAGTCTCCCAAGTGCTGGGATTATAGGCAGGTGCCACCACGCCCAGCTAAGTAATAGTGTTTTTCAATTCATTTATTTGGCATTTGGTGTTCTTGTTTAGTACTTAGACTCATTGTATTTCTCATGTTTTTGTTTATATAACAGTGTATCAAACTTGACTTTACTTGGAATATTATCAGTACATAGCAAACTAGCCTGTTCTGGTGATTTCTATAACTTTAAAATAACCAAAAATATTTTAAGCATGATTCCTGGAGATAATCTTTTATTGACAGATGTTTTCTAATAACAGCTAACATTTACTTTGTATATTTTTCAAATTCCAAGAACTGTACTATTGTACTTTATACACATAACTTCTAACAACTATATGATACATGTTCTATTTTTATGGGAAAACTGAGATTTATAAAGGGTAGATGTCTTGCCCAGGGTCACCGTGTAGGAGGTGCCAGAGTTGGGGTTCTAGCCTGTAGTAAATTATGATCTGTACATAGTAACAGACAACTCTTGCCCATTAAATTAGCAATTATTTTTTAAATATACAGATTTGCAGGAGACTTTTGGTACTTGAAAGGTAAATGTTTGTTAAGGCTACACTTTCTGATTTTTTTTCAGATGGTCTGTCAGTTCAAACTGTGGCAGGAATGCTCTACAACCCCTTCTCAGGTTGCTGGCATTGGACTGAAAATACCAGCCTGAACTACGCAGCCCATGCTGTGAAGTCCGTGGCACCAGATCATGTGGGGCCTGCTGAGCTTGTTTCTAAAGAGGGAGCAGAAGCACCTCAAGCTGAGGCTTCCACCGTCCCAGGTGTGCATGAAGAACTCAGGAAATGAATTGTTTCTGAAGCCTGCAGTAATATGGCTTGAAACGCTGATGCTTATAGTTTTTAAAAATATATAATTTATCCTTTGAGAAAGAATCATAAAGAAAAGGTTAATAAAAAAGTTAAATCCTTGGGCAAAATTTTTGTGTCATCTAATAGCTACTTTCAAGGGATTCTGTGGATAAAAAGTTTTGTGAAGGTATATATGGTCTAGGTGTTCACATCTAGAAGTTCCTCGTCTTTGTTATATAAATAGAGAAAGCATATTTAATTTTATCTTATGGATTATGTATATATCTTTCCAACGTGTATGCACATCCATATATGCTGTTATTTATTTTAATTTAATAAGGAATCTAACAATGTTTCTGTTTGTTTGATTTTAGTTAAAACCAGTCATGCTTTTAACTGAAGAAAATCAAGTGTAGTTTTGGAAAGTTTTTGTTTCATTTTGCTTTTGTTTTTGTTTTTTTGAGACAGGGTCTCACTATTTAGCTCATGCTAACCTTGAACTCACTATGTAGCCCAAGATGGCCTTAAACTTGTGGTGATCCACCTGCCTCAGCCTCCTGAGTGCTGCAATTACAGACATACACCACCGCACTCAGTTCAGATGTTGTTTTATATCACTTATATTTAGGAAGATAATATTTTTTCCTTTTTTCACTTTATTAGTAATAAAATGGGTTGTTGAATATATACTGGATTTGGATTTAAGCATTAAAATCAAGAAATTCAGATTATATTGAACATAATTTCCTAAAATTGTATGGTGCCTTTTTTTTTTAAGATAGAAAGGACTTTCTAAAACTTAAAGATTTAGTTTTGGAAAATGTTTCAGTTAATATATTTATAATGAGAGGGCTGAATTGAAGTATTTTTTTCCCCTCTTAAAATATGTGTCTTGTTTTTTTTTTCAAAATTCAGAAGCAATGTAAGGACATAGGCCGATGGTGTTTGCTGAATATGACTGAATATTAAAAGCATGTGACCGCTGTAGGAGGTCAGCCTTTCCTTTCTAGTATTTTTTTACTTCAGCACTGATTTGCAGTACTCTGTTGTCAGTGCCTGTTGGGTTGGGCTCCTCAGGCAGGCCCCTCCCAGCCAGCCTAGCTTATCATTTGTTCTCAGTGGCATTTTAGGGTAGGAAACTGGCACTTAAAGAATTAGGAAAGAAATTTTAATGTCAGTTGCTTGTGTCTAATGAGGGAGCTAAAAATGAGAAGTTAACATTGACCTCCATTTAAAAATTTGATTCTTAGTCTGAATTGTAATAGTTTGTTTTTTTTTTTTTAATCAAAACAAAGTTACCTCTTTCCATCTGTTGGAACAAAAAGCATTGACATTGGGCTGGGGATATAGCTCAGCGGCACAAGCACCTGCCTGGCAAGTACAAGGTCCTGAGTTCGATTCCTGGTACCAAAACAAAAATAAGCATTGATATTAAGGATTAAGAAACATGTAATGTAACTGAATAAAAGGCAATCTCCCAAGCAAAATGCATCTATTTTAGAAGACGAGCTCTACTTTTTAGTTATGGAATAGATACACTGTTAAATGCTGGTAATTGAGGATAGTTCAGTAATAACTCTTCTGTGTTTCAGTTGATGTCCCATGGAATGAAGAGATGAAAATATTGTCCCTTTGTGTATAATCTAATTTGAAATTGTAGGCTGATTTTACCACATTTCTAAGGAAATAGGCTCAGAAAGACATAATAGTTTTAAAAGAATGAGATGTGATTAAAAAACAAACAGTGAATGTTTAAATCTTTTAAAGTGTATTGCTATAAAGGACAAATTGCTATTAACACACTTCCCATCGTCCTTGCAACTTTCTGACCGTTCTGGAAGACCTCTTTAGTGAGTGTCTTTAGTTTTGTTATTGGGGCTACCTCGATGTCATGAATTAATTTAAGATGTTTACCTTTTGTAGCCAGTTGATTTAGGGGACAGCCAGAAGTCTCATGGTGCCGGATCCAGTGAAGAAGGTGGGTGAAGATACACTGTGATGTTTTTGTTTGACAGAACTTTCTGTACCAGAAGCAATGTGTGACACAGAGAGTTGCCATGATGGAGGTTGAAACCATTTGCCCATCCTTTGGGCTGCTTTCTACACGCATCATTTCTTACAGGCTCTAATAAACTCTCAGAATACTCACAGTTCACAGTAGTGTTGCTGTGCAAACTCAGCTCATAGAACTCCATCAACGTCAAAAAGTACAGTCCATTACCTTAACATTGGATCTTGATTGAAACACTTTTTTTCCCCACAGGAATTGGGTGATTTACATTGAAAACGCTGAACCTTGATCTCAGGATCATAAAAGTAGCCCTGTGTTTCATTTCCCATGATGACTTTTTTTTTTACAACGCTGGAATCTGTGCAAGCAGAATTACATAACTCCAGTAGAACTGACAGTATCTCATGTTAATGTGTTGCTCATGATCCCCAATTTATACCACACTTTTTTTTTTTTTTTTTTTTTTTTTTGGTTTTTCTCCGGTACCGGGAACCGAACTCACGACCTTGCACTTGCCAGGCAGGCGCTTTTGCCGCTGAGCTAAATCCCCAGCCCCTACCACACTTTAAAACACATCTCTCAACTGCACCTCACAGCTCACTGCATTGAACAAGTTGAAACTTCTCACAATGTTACTAAGGTTGGATGGGCCCCTTCTTGTATTGAAGATCTCTGCTTTCTGTTGGATGACACTCAGGAACATTGTTCACTGTATTTTTCTTGTTCTTCCTTTACTGGTGTATTTTAGATAGACATAGTGATAACATTCATCATTGGGACTTTGTGCCTGTACATGGTACAGCTTGCTGCTGCTGCTTTTTTCCCATTCCTTTCCCCTCCCTTCAGCCCCTCTACTTGTCTTTATTTACAACAGCTTTCATTCCGTTTTTACCTTCTATTCCTCCCTACCCCATCCCCTTTCTCATTTGAACATTCTCTTGCCATTTCCCAATATCCACAATACATTTCAGTTCTTATTTATACTTTTAGTTCTCACACCAGAGAAACCATGTGATACTTACATATGTGTGTCTGATTTATTGCACTTAAGGGTATGGTATCAAGGTGCATCTATACACCTACAAACATCTCAAGTTTATCCCTTTTTATGACAGACTGCTACACCATTGTATAAAAAAAAAATCATCCATTCATCAGTTGATGGGCATTTGGGCTGTTTTCAATTACAAATTGTGCCACTATAAACACGGGTGTGTCTGTATTGCTGTGGTATGGTGATTTTAATTCTTTCAGAAAGATACCAAGAAGGGGAATTGCAGGGTCATATGGAATCTCTAGTCCTAGTATTTTTAGGAATCTCCACACTGATTTCCACAATGGTTGTACCAGTCTACACTCCCAACAATAGTGGAGAAGGGTACCATTTTCCCCACAGCCCCTCCAGCATTTGTTATTGGTTGATTTCTTGATAAAATAGCCATTCTTTCCAGGGTGAGATGGAATCTCAGAGTTATTTCAATTTGCATCTCTTGAATGACCAGTGATGTTGAACATTTTTTCATGTATTTATTTGCTGTTTCTACTTCATCTGAGAAGAGAGTACTCATTGCAGATGCCCATTTTGGGCTTGAGTCTTTAAATTTGGGGGCTCTGATTTTTTTGAGTTCTTTATATATTCTAGGTAGTAGTCCTTTATCTGAGGAACAGCTGGCAAAATTTTTTTAACACAGTGTGCGTTTTCTGTTTGTTGGTAGTTTCTCTTGCTATGCAAAAGCTTTGTAATAAGATGAGATCCCAGTTGTTGATTCTTTGTGATAGTTCCCATGTGACTGGGGTTTTGTTCATAAAGTCTTTGCCTATATTAGTATCTTCAAGAGTTCTATCTTCCACTAGATTTACTGCTCCTGTTTTAATATTTAGTTCTGTGATCCATTCCAATTTTAGTTAGTACATGGTGAAAATATGGGTCTAGGTTTAATCTTCAGGATGTGGAAAGCCAGTTTGTCCAGCACCATTTATTAAAGCAGTTGTATTAGATGAGAGACAGAGAGAGAGGCGGGGGGAGGGTGGGAGGGAGGGAGGTTATCTTTCTTCCAGTTAAGGTGTTTGGCACTTTTGTCAAAGATTAGGTGGCTAAGTATGTCTATGGTTATTTCTGCTTCTTCTAATCGATTCCATTGATCATTGGGTCTGTTTTTTTGCCAGTACTATGCTGATTTTATCACAGTAGTTTTGTAGGATAACTTCCAATCAGGGATTGTGATGCCCCTGCCTTGCCTTTGTTGCCCCAAATTACTTTTGCTCTTCTAGGTTTCTTCTGTCTCCAAATGAATTTTTGGATTGTTTTCTCTAATTCTGTGAGATATGCAGTTGGAATTTTGATCAGGATTGCATTAAATCAGTTCAATCAGATTGCATTAAATAACAATTTTAGAAGCATGGCCATTTTCACTATATTGGTTCTTCCTACCCAAGAACAAGGGATATCTTTCCATTTTATGATATCCTCTTTGGTTACTTTTTCAGAATACTGCAGTTATCAGTGTAGAAGTCTTTTACATCCTGCATTAAACTGATTCCTAGGTATTTCATTTTTGGATACTATTGTGGTTCACTGTATTTTTTTTTTTTTGAGTGTACCTCATATGTTTGTAATGTGATGACTAGTCTATGGCCATACCACCCTGAACACACCCAATCTCATAATGTGATGACTTCTTGCAATAATTCTAATTTTCAGAAGTACCTATTTTTGAAAACCAGTAATATAACAATTAGGGTTATAATAAGGACTTTAAAACTTCCCTCAGGAACTGTGGGTACATGACAATCCTCATATGAATAATGATGTAAAGCTTTTGTTTCCAACAAATGAAATTGTATATCCTAGAAAGAAAAAGAATAAGTCTAGAGACAGCAGAAAAGTAGATTGTGTGGGACTTTGGTTTGGAGTCACAGAAGGCTTTGAGGTGATTTGGGCCACCTAGTCTGTATCAGATTTTTCATGGGGTTCTAACTTAAAAGTAGTCAAACTACTTAAGGTTTGTTCAGAGCATGAGCATTTGAAGAGCAAAATTTTCAGCGCTTAGAAGTAGCAATGAATGTTATTAGCAAGGGCCATAGGCAAGGCAGGTGTTGACAAAAAAGAAATCAAATAGTATGTCTTTTGTGAAAACTTCTGTAAAGAACAATAAAAGCCAGCACCAAGCACTCATGAAAAGCTCCTGTAGGACATGGAAGAGCCTTCCAGAAGCAAATCTCCATCAACTAGCAATAGTAATGAATAAAACATTACTATACTTATGTGTTCTATATTCTTTTCCTTCAGGCAATCATCACAAAAACCCATTTTTTCTTTTATATCTTACAAGTTGAAGTTAGGCACTAGAATGTTGTCCCTATATCCCTTAAATCATGAGTAGTAGTTTTCCTGTTTCTGAGACACAATACCAGACATCCACAATTTAAAGGAGGAGAAGTTTATTTGACTCCTGGTTTCAGGAGTTCACTCCATGGATGGCTGCCTTGAAGCCAGGAGCATCATGGCAGAAGGGCATAATGGAATAAAGATGCTTAGTTTATGGTGGCTGGGAAGCAGAGCAGGTGAACAGTGCCGGAGAGGAAGGTGTGAGGGACCAGATATAATACCCAAGGTGGCATCTCCATGACCCCACCCAGAATTGTACTTTACTAATGTCCTTGGCAGCACCCAGTCCAATCAACTTGACACAATAAGCTTACATCATTTGTGAGTACTCTCAAATGAAAATGTTAATATTTCTGTAACTGTGACCTTAGGACAGTTCCTAATAGTGATGATCATGTTTAGGATTTGGAAATTAGGAATGTCACTTAAATGCTAAAGTTGAACATTTTATTTGACTGATTATAATTTGTTAATAAAACTACTTTGTAAAAAAAACCCTTAAATTCAAGGCACAAAGAATCTTAAAAATTTTCTTTAGGAAATCAACAATTGTTGTTATATTGCATATTGTTATCTTCAGAGTAGTTGTTCAAGTTACCAGCTATAGGCATGCAAAACTGATTAAAAAATTAAGCATTAATGGCTCCTTTCAATAAACCAATAGAAATTAGTAGTACAATTATCTTAGCTGTCATGTGTGTGTATATATACATATTTCCCCCTTCTTTCTTTCTTTTCTCCTTTTCCTCATCCCAATTGTTCTTTCCTTTTGAGTAGTTTCTTCCCTTTTACAATATCTATTGTACCTTTTGGGTTTTATTTACTCTTTCAGTTTCTTACACTAGGGAGACAATATGATGTTTACACATGTGGGTCTGATTTATTTCACTTATGAGTATGTTCTCTAGTCATCCATTTCCCTATAAAAGCCTTGAGTTTATCTTTCTTTATAACTGAGTAATACTCCATTGTATAAAAATACCACATCTTTTTTATCCATTCCTCCATTTTTGGGCATTTGGATTGTTTCCAAAATTTAGCTATGACAAATTGTGCTGCTATAAACATGGGTGCACATATATTGCTGTGGTATGATGTTTTCAATTCTGAAAAAATACCCAGAAGGGGAATAACTGGGTTGAATGGGACCTCTAATCCTAGTTTGCTGAGGAATCTTCACACTGATTTCCACAGTAGTTGTACCAGTCTACACTTCCAACAGTGGAGAAGGGTTCCTTTTTCCCCACAGGCTCACCAGCATTTGTTATTGGTTGATTTCTTGATGATGGCCATTCTTTCTGGGGTGAGAGGGAATCTCATTGTTGTTTTAATTTGCATTTTTCAAATGACCAGTGACATTGAAGATTTTTTCATATATTTATTTTCCATTTGTATTTCTTCACCTGAGAAGTGTATATTTATCTCAGATGCCCATTTTTTGATTAGGTCTTTGAATTTTGGGGGCCTGATTCTTTGAAATTCTTTATATGTTCTAGATATAAGTCCTTTGTCCAAGGGACAGTTGGCTGAAATTTTTCCCAGTTCATGGGTTTTCTTTTTACTCTGTTGATGATTTCTT